TAAGACAGTCATCACCTCATAACAGCCTGGCACTCTCCCGAAACCCGGCGTGAAGCCTCCCCACACAGGAAACCTTGTGCGCGAAAACCAAAAAACGGCAAAAAAATGTGCCACTGAGGTCACGGTAAAGAGAAACTGTGCTTAAGAGTTCAAGTGGACATTGGGAATAAATACACCATAAAAAAACTACGTCTAACAGCATCTTAGGCTGACAGATCGCCGAGACGGCACTTCCGTGCTGCAGTCTGGTCTCTCTCAAAGTTGAAACCATTAATGCCAGACCTTTTCAATATCAAGTAATCAGATCAATATTGTAATGTGGAAAACATTCATCACTCTGGTCTCTTTTTGGGTTTTAATTTACAGATGCAGAAGTTGGTTGAAATTGCTTTAGTGTAAATTTTTCGTGCCGTTAGCTCCTTTTTTCCCCTTTCAAGGCTCAGAGTTTGAGGAGAAAATGACACCACTCTCCAACTAGCAATAAAAGCAGCCCTCACTGTCTAAAAACGTGCATAATTTATTATTCACATCCACTAAAAAATGCTCAGCCTCAGCCTCGTTCCACCAAAAAACTTCTTCAATTAAAACCACATGTGTGGTGGTTGCCGCTGGTCAGTGCCGGAGCTGGTGCGTTCAAAGACGCAAACGAGCGTAAAAATTCTAGCCTGACCTTTCATGCAAGGTCAGCTGAAATATGAAAGGGAGAACGTAGACATGACATATTTCACACAAACATGTTTCGGAGAGCAGAGGTGGCCAAAAGTACGGTTGACAAAAAAAGTATTCCTAATCAGTTAGAGATGGATATGTATTGCTCTTCAAAATGCTTTGGTTAAAAACGCACTTGTGTGAAAACTAACATTATTTTTGGAACAGTAAAAGAGTTTAATGGTGGAAATGCCATGTGAGGGTCTAAGGGACAGTGCTTCACGAGAACCAGAGTGCTTTGTGTTAAAACCACCCATGATATTGAAAAACTTAAATTTACCTCTAAATCACTTGACTGAGGCTCATCTGAATTTGAAAAGAGAGCACACACACACACACACACACACACTAAATGCTTTTTGCACAGCACACACCGACATATATTTGCATTAGCAGAAAACTGGTTGTTCAAATAAAGTTTCAATCACCAAATGTTCCTAAAATACGCATTAAAAAGCAACATGCCTAAATGTACACATGGCATCATGTTAGTCTCAACATTAACGTCCAAAACAAACACATTCCAGACCTTCTCTACCCAGAAAAATACCCACAGTGGGCTGGATACCAGCCTGCCATGCAATCCACACATTTATCAAAATAACATTTAAAAAGACCTCCGAAAGTTAGGTTAGTAGTCTGTATAAACATGAAGAACAGCATAAAACAATCACTTATCACAGAACAAGTGATATATCAATTATAACCAGAACTCTAAAGTAGTCTGGTGTCCGCCGTTAGAGTGCTAAAACTATCATCTGAGGTGTAGCTGTTGCCGCTTGCAGCTGCTTGACGGCCATGCAAGTAACTAAATTACCCACTTTACTGCCATTTTCATGCCCCCTCTGAACGAAATGCTGTATTCTTGATCAACTTCATGAATTATCACTTTTACTCTAAGCACATAACATCATTCAATCACTCCACTCATCTATGGCATAAGTATTCATCACTTTATGCTTATGTTCATCTACATTTACACGTCACATTTCAATTAGCAGGGAATCTGTTTATCATAAGAGGCAATATATCAAAGAACGGACATTGTAAAAACAAACAAGTACAGCTCTGAGTCAAAAAAAACGGTGTTTTAGTTCAACAAAAAAATTATTTGTCTTTACACACATATATAAAAAACTAAATATTATTTTATGAACGCACACTTTCATAAAATAAACATGTTTCGGAGAGCAGAGGTGGCCAAAAGTACGGTTGACAAAAAAAGTATTCCTAATCAGTTAGAGATGGATATGTATTGCTCTTCAAAATGCTTTGGTTAAAAACGCACTTGTGTGAAAACTAACATTATTTTTGGAACAGTAAAAGAGTTTAATGGTGGAAATGCCATGTGAGGGTCTAAGGGACAGTGCTTCACGAGAACCAGAGTGCTTTGTGTTAAAACCACCCATGATATTGAAAAACTTAAATTTACCTCTAAATCACTTGACTGAGGCTCATCTGAATTTGAAAAGAGAGCACACACACACACACACACACACTAAATGCTTTTTGCACAGAACACCGACATATATTTGCATTAGCAGAAAACTGGTTGTTCAAATAAAGTTTCAATCACCAAATGTTCCTAAAATACGCATTAAAAAGCAACATGCCTAAATGTACACATGGCATCATGTTAGTCTCAACATTAACGTCCAAAACAAACACATTCCAGACCTTCTCTACCCAGAAAAATACCCACAGTGGGCTGGATACCAGCCTGCCATGCAATCCACACATTTATCAAAATAACATTTAAAAAGACCTCCGAAAGTTAGGTTAGTAGTCTGTATAAACATGAAGAACAGCATAAAACAATCACTTATCACAGAACAAGTGATATATCAATTATAACCAGAACTCTAAAGTAGTCTGGTGTCCGCCGTTAGAGTGCTAAAACTATCATCTGAGGTGTAGCTGTTGCCGCTTGCAGCTGCTTGACGGCCATGCAAGTAACTAAATTACCCACTTTACTGCCATTTTCATGCCCCCTCTGAACGAAATGCTGTATTCTTGATCAACTTCATGAATTATCACTTTTACTCTAAGCACATAACATCATTCAATCACTCCACTCATCTATGGCATAAGTATTCATCACTTTATGCTTATGTTCATCTACATTTACACGTCACATTTCAATTAGCAGGGAATCTGTTTATCATAAGAGGCAATATATCAAAGAACGGACATTGTAAAAACAAACAAGTACAGCTCTGAGTCAAAAAAAACGGTGTTTTAGTTCAACAAAAAAATTATTTGTCTTTACACACATATATAAAAAACTAAATATTATTTTATGAACGCACACTTTCATAAAATAAATTCCAACGCCCTTTTATGCAAGTTTAAATGCTGCTAGTAAAAAGATGAAGATTAAATAATTTAAAGATTAAACTAACTGAAAATATCAGAAACATTTGACTTCATCAAAGTAAATCATTTAGCATGTTCATTAAAATGTTCGTCTTGTGATTTAATATAGGGTAGAGATGCATTGTGCAGTAAATGTCGACAGTGAATTAAGCAAAGACTCATCTATACTTTATATTAGATTTCAATTAATTGTGCTCAAAGCTCCATCAATCAGTTCTTAATATCATGAGACTTACACACTGCCAGATTATGAGGAAGATGATGATGCAAATATGTATTTTTCTTTGACTTATGCAAAGATGTATTCTTAAAAACCAAGTACAGAAAGAGAGCGAAATTATAGTGTACTTGGTTCAACTCCTGAGCTGTAGTTCCCTCTGCAGATTCACTTTTAATGCCCCGGACTGACATCTTTACATTTTTGCTGGTTTGCTTTGCGTTAGTTTTGCTGTCGCGAGTGTTTGAGGGCGAAACTAACAGCGCTGATTTGATCACCAAAAGAATAACAATCCATTAACTGTACGATTTAAAAACAAAGGAAAAAGTTCATTTTGTTCATGCATCTGCGTAAAAATGAATCACTAAATAAAGACATTAAGTTTTGCATCACTTAAGTTAGTCAAGAATATGTCTCTTAGGCGAAAACTGACTAGTTAAAATAATAACAGCCTAATAATAAAAAAAAACAATCTCTTTGAAGTGCAAAGGTAATACTTGTTCCTCTCTGTTTGAAATCTTATTTTGCATGTATACGAACCTTACTAATGTCACTGTATCTCGCTGTAATTGATGCATTTGAATTAATGATTATAAATAGGCTAATCATGCTTGCCGAGTTAATCTTATTTTTATATTTCTTTTATTTAATTCGTAATATTTTTCATATGTAATTGTCTCAGTAACACATCGGTACAATCGACACTAAGCAATAGGCTAATCTTAAATACATTCGCTTTATTTCTCTTCACGTTCCGCTATAATAAATTATTATTTCTTAACACACTGCGTCTTATATACATTAAAACTGACCAGTCAGAAGTTATGGGTTATTTGCCTAAAATCAGATTAGTATTTGCTGAAGGCCTGCTGAAAACAATCAGCTTGACGGATAAGAAGAAATAAATGAAGCCAACTTACATAAAACAACCGTAATTTAAATATTTAGTGTATGTGCATGCTTCGGTGTTGTTTATTAACTTAAATTGTTTATAAGGAAAGTTTTGTTGCCAAGGCCAAGCAATATCTGATTTCTACGTTACTGTGGAAGCAGCGTATGGTCTTTGGGAGGGAAAAAATATAGAAATACATAAAGTAAAATAAATAAATGCACACTAACATAGCTTTATTCCAAATTACTTTATCTGATCTGTCTAAAAGTTGTTGTTTTTTTCTTCTTTTTTCCTTTTGACCAGATTTCAAAGCATGTGATATTTTCAAACTCAGTTGCACAAGTTCACTAAACTTGTTTTCGGTCTTTTTCACGATGGGGGTTCATTCTTCTCTAAAACCTTTCAACGTTATTAATTACGTATTTTATCAAAAATGTGCATATATATATAATTCATATTCAGTTAGTCTATTATTCTCTCGTAGGCTACAGAATAATAACACGCTTTCATCTCCGGTTTAAAAGTGTGAAGTAAAAAAAAATTATAAAAAAAAATTAAAAAAAAGTTGCGTCGTCAAATCTATTGTGACACTGAGAGCTTTAGTATCCCATTTGCAAAGGTCTAAGAAAATACACTGACTCTGATATTTCTTTCTGTTGATCTGAATAAGTATGTGTGTGATAACGCGTCCATGCATTCAAATCTGGGATAAACTACATTTTAATATTATACACGCGTAATCTCGCGAGGAGCAAATAGAAAGAAGAAAGAAAAAAGAAAAAGAAGAAGTAAAAAGTGGATCTGAACCTGTTAGGATATTGTGAAGAACTCTACTTTCACTCTACGGCTGGACCATGTGGATGTGTCCCTCCAGCTCTCGTGAATGTCCCAGTGATTCCAGAAACCTTCAGCAGAGCAACGCAAAAGGGAAAGAAAATCCTGTTCTATGAGTGATGTCTTCAGACCATTACTTTCAACGACAACTGTCTTTATTAGTCTTCCTTTCCTTTTTGACTGGCTTCCTCTCTCAGACTGGTCACTCAGTAGGGTGATAAGTGGAAACAATAATCGTGCACTAGCTCAAAGGCTGCATGGTCACAGCGCTCCGCAAAGTTCATGAAGAACAAGCACGCGGCTCTTTACGCCTCCTCGTCGCTTCAGGTCTTCTCTCTTTCTTTCAGTTAGTCACACGGTGAGTTTTCCTAAAGTCCCAATAATGCTTCTCGCTGGAGTTTTTGGCATCTCGTCTGTTCCTCGCTCATTCGCAGAGAAATCAGTGTTGAATTACTCCGCTTGTGTCTTGTGTTGGCGATGTGTTAGGGGACAGTTTGGTCTACCGTAATGCGTGTAGAACGGGGGCGCACACATCTTCTGCGCTGCTGCTACTTCCTGTTCTATGAGTGATGTCTTCAGACCATTACTTTCAACGACAACTGTCTTTATTAGTCTTCCTTTCCTTTTTGACTGGCTTCCTCTCTCAGACTGGTCACTCAGTAGGGTGATAAGTGGAAACAATAATCGTGCACTAGCTCAAAGGCTGCATGGTCACAGCGCTCCGCAAAGTTCATGAAGAACAAGCACGCGGCTCTTTACGCCTCCTCGTCGCTTCAGGTCTTCTCTCTTTCTTTCAGTTAGTCACACGGTGAGTTTTCCTAAAGTCCCAATAATGCTTCTCGCTGGAGTTTTTGGCATCTCGTCTGTTCCTCGCTCATTCGCAGAGAAATCAGTGTTGAATTACTCCGCTTGTGTCTTGTGTTGGCGATGTGTTAGGGGACAGTTTGGTCTACCGTAATGCGTGTAGAACGGGGGCGCACACATCTTCTGCGCTGCTGCTACTTCTTGAAGCACAACACAAAACCTCGCGCGCTGCAGGCGCTGATCTCTTCACCTGCGCGCGCATCACGGGGTTAGTTTGACCACTGTGGTTACCGACGAGCAACAGATGTTAGTTAAATGACAGACTCACCACGGGAACCGTTACCTGCTCCTCATCTCCTCCTCAGCAAATAACAAGTTTGTTCTTGCTGCTTGCCATCTTTCAATCATAGGCTACTTTGCTTTTGTTGTTGTCAATAATTGTTAAAAGATTAGAATTAGTTGTACTAAATATTCTTCTTCTTTTTCTTACACTCTAAAAAATTCTGGGTTAAATACAACCCAGTGCTGGGTAAAATAGGGACAAACCCAGCAATCCAGTTGTTTTGACCCAGCGGTTGGATTAAATGTTTAACCCAACCGCTGGGTCAAAACAACTCAATTGCTGGGTTTGTCCCTATTTTACCCAGCACTGGGTTGTATTTAACCCAGCATTTTTTAGAGTGTACTATTATATTAATAGTAATTATTGTTTAAAAAGTGTATAATCCTTGTTAAAATATTATAGATAGATATATAGAGAGATAACATTGTGTATAAGTAGGCTAATATACTTACCATTATATACATATACATATGATATATTGCTATGTATATTACTATTATATAAGTACATTTACAGTGTGTGTGTGTGTGTGTGTGTGTGTGTGTGTGTGTGTGTGTGTGTGTGTGTGTGTCCCTGGACCACTGAACCAGTCATAAGGATCATTTTTTTGAAATTGAGATCATCTGAAAGATTAATAAATACGCTTTCCATTGAGGGTTGTTAGGATAGGACAATATTTGGCTGAGAGACAACTATTTGAAAAACTGGAATCTGAGGGTGCAAAAAAAATCGAAATATTGAGAAAATCACCTTTAAAATTGTCCAAATGAAGTCCTTA